CGCCCGCCGCCCGCCGGCCCTGTCAGCGCGCCGGGCGCCACCACCGCGCGCGGGGGGGTGCAGAGGGGCGGGCGGCGCCACAGGCTCCTCCCCGCCACCCCCGTTCTCGGCGCCCGTTGGTAGGTCCCGCCCGGCAGCGCCTTCCGCGTCCTGTCCCCGCGCGGCTTCCGTCCTTTCCGCCCGGAGCCGCGTAGGAGCTGCCATCATGGTGAGTGTGTGCGCGGGGCTCGGTATCCGCCGCCATCCGCCCTGTGCCGGGCGCGGAGCGGGCCGGGCCGGGCCGGGCCGGGCAGGGCAGGGCAGGCGGCGCCGCGGCCGGGCCGCGCTGAGCTGAGCTGAGCTGACGAGCCGGCCGGCGCCCACAGGCCAAGATCAAGGCGCGGGACCTGCGCGGCAAGAAGAAGGAGGAGCTGCTGAAGCAGCTGGACGACCTCAAGGTGGAACTGTCGCAGCTGCGCGTGGCCAAGGTGACGGGCGGCGCCGCCTCCAAGCTCTCCAAGATGTGAGTGTGGGCGCTGCCGGGGGGCGCGGGCCGCGCGCGGCCGCCCCACGCAGCGCCGCCCTCTCCTCTCCTCTCCTCTCCTCTCCTCTCCTCTCCGCAGCCGCGTGGTCCGTAAGTCCATCGCCAGGGTGCTGACCGTCATCAACCAGACCCAGAAGGAGAACCTCAGGAAGTTCTACAAGGTACGTGCGGGCGGCCGCTCGCCGGGCTCAGCGCCTGAGCGTCCACTGCGGCTGCGGGAGACGATAGCTCTGGGCATTCCTGCTGGGGAGGCCTAGAGAGTGGCAGAGAACGTTTAGTCATGTCAAGCTTTGGAGCTATGTAGCCAGGGTTTCATTTCAAATATCGCTTATTGTTGACCTTAGCCTGATGCTGCCTTAAATTCGGTCAGCAGAGCATGGATTTGCTCTCATCAAGAGCATCCTCTGTGGAGTGTCRCTGATACACAGTCTAGTGTGTTTTCCAGAAGAAACAGTTCCCGGAATTGGACTGCAGGTGCAGTTTGCTGTATTGGAAGAGTAATGTTACTGCCTTGCCAGATAACAGAGAATTTTTTTTCCCTGAGATGGTTCTGTAGTTTACAGAATACTTCATTTTATGGGTTTGTATTATTTAAAGTGGGAGGAGGACTTTCTTTTAAGAAGAGCTTGCAAGGTTCTGCTATTACTGAAGTCTCTATCAGTTGTTATGAACTCATTTTCTTAGAAATTCTGTAATGGCAGCTCTGGAAAAGGGGCAAAGGAAAGACTCCCGGTGCTGCTGCTGGAGCACTGGCAGGCAGCAAGTGCTCCCAGTCTCTGTTGCAGTCTCCCAAACTAACTCTTGTGTATTTTTGCAACCAGGGCAAGAAGTACAAGCCTCTTGATCTGCGGCCCAAGAAGACTCGTGCTATGCGGCGCAGGCTCAATAAGCATGAAGAAAACTTGAAGACCAAAAAACAGCTGCGAAAAGAACGTCTGTATCCTCTCCGGAAATATGCCATCAAGGCATAAAGCTGTAGTGTCCTGAAAGTTCTTACTTAACTGGCTGAGTATTTCTCATTAAATACAAGTTTGTTTGGGARTTGTCACTCGTTTGTCGTTAATAGAAGTGACGTAGAGAGATCTCCAGTTTCATGGAGAAAAACCAGGATTTGCAGAAAGCTTCTTTTAGTTTCTTTATTATTGGTAAAAATACGTAACTAGCATCTTTTTCATAGGAAGAACAGGCAAATGAATACAGATTTCTGAAGCTCCTTAATGTGTAAGGCAGAAGTATTTAGCTTGAGATTTATTTAAAAGCAAAACTTCTGAGATTTACTTAAGATAAAGACTTTACAGAAATATTTACAGTAGACTGGTGTTTGTCACACCAGTCGCTCAAGTTTAATTTTAAAGTTAATGCTTTTCTTTATTGCCGCTATTCAAGTGCTGTGTAGGCAAGTTAATTTGCTGGAATATCTTGGTGGACTTCAGTGAAATTGCAGACTTGGCCAGCACTTGTTTGGGGTCCCTGCCCAGCGGTTTGGAGCACCRGAGAATCCCGTGCATGCATGGCCGGTGCGAGGCTTGTCCGCCCGACGGGAGCGAGGCCCTTCCCAGGGCGCCGCTGCGGCCGGTCACTGCTTCCCRGAGCCGCTGCAGTACCAGTGCCGGGTTTGGGCTCTCCAGGTTGAACGTTGCGGATGCAGAGCAGCGTGCTGGAGCTATGAACAACAGACTCGAGCAGCGCGGCTGTGGCAGGGAGGTGTTCACACCTTGTGTCCTGCTTGGGTAGAGATGCAGCAGCTTGAAAGTCAAGGCGTGAATCGGGCTGCAAGTCTTGGCGCATAAGGGTGATTGGTGCCTGCAGCAGACCTGTTTGGAGTAGAGCAGGTTTGTGCAGATTTCTGGTCTCAAGATATGACCTAAGAACCACATGTGTTGATTTCTGTAATCTGCAGACTTGTTTGTCCGCCTTGCAGTGGAGACTAGGGCTCCGCTTTCTGTGAGGAAAAGCACCGCTGAGTTTCCTACGTGGGCACCTTAAGCAAGAGCACGTGTAAGAAACGCTTTGGTGCAAGAAACACTCTCCCAGCTCAGGGGCTCATGATCTTTGTGTCCCTGGGTAACTTAATAGCATCACAAGCCAAATGGATTATTAGATCTCAAAAGCTGCTTTTTTCATTGTTAACTCCAAAGAAATGCTCTTTCCTCCTGGCGTTGTTCTATCTGATCCTGTAGTGTATTTTGTCATATCTGAAGKGATGTTACTAATCTGATTCTGCTAAGAACCTCATAGATGCAGTGGATAATTTTAAGCAAAGTTGAGGTCATTGCATATTTCTCGGGGATCATCTGGAGCCTGGAATACATCGCTCCAGAGGCTGAGGCTGGCTGGTCTGCAAATGTGCTAGAGCTGACAACGACAGAGGGGAGCGTTGCCTTCGGTGTGCCTTGCTATGCCCGCTGCCATGGCACTCTGTGCTTTTTCACTGTTCATCCCACTCTGTCCGGTATCCCGTTTGGAAGGAAGGAGTTACAGAGTTATCTTGGCAGCTGGAGGTGATGCTAACACCGCCCAGGCGCTTTGCTAGCAGCGYGGTGGGAGTGTTGGCTGCGCTGCACGCTGCAGCGTTGGTTGCGCTGCACGCTGCGCTGTGCTCCCCCAGCCTGCACCCACAGCCGGCACCTTCTGCAGGGTTTCACGTGGGAGCTGTTGTTGCTTTAGGCTGATGGGCCCATTACGCTAAGCCCAGCAGTGCTTGGTAACACCTGCAGTACTGGTTTAGAGCATGAGAGCATCACACAGCTGCCTGTGCCTGTTGGGAAGGAAGCGCACGCGGCACTGTGAGGAGCCCGGCTCCACATGCACAACACCGTGAGGAGCCCGGCTCCCCATGCACAACACCACACGCGCAACACTGTGAGGATCCTGACTCTGCACGCTCTGTGCCAGAAAGCTGTTGCCTGGAGGAGGGCAGGGAGAGGTTGGTGCTGGAAATGGGACAGGGACCTGTCTCCTCCCATCCCTCCCCTCTTCCTGGGGCGACACACTGTGCCCTAGTGCTCCTCTTGGATGTCGCCTCCTGAGAGGAGCCGTGTGGTTCTCGCCAGGCTTCCTAACACGGAAAAGCAGATGCAGGTAACAMGCCAAACCTCTCCTGGAAGTTGGGCTGGAAATTCCAGGCTCTGCGTGTGATCCCTGGAGCCGGGTGCCCGTCAGGCTGTGGGAGTCTCAGCTCCTGTGTGGGAAGAAGCTGGACACAGGGCGAAGTCCCGGAGAGCAAGAGCAGCTGGGGGCTGCTGCCCTCCACCCGCCACAGCAGGAAAAATGCCTGGAGGGAATGGATCTTCCCTCTGAAAGATCCAATTGTGTTCCAAAGGGTCAGCATGGTGGGAAGAGAGGCTGAGGGGGGTGGAAAGGGGAAGCTGCAGCTGGAATGCCAGGCGATGAACGTTCCCGGGGAGAGCAGCAGCTCTGGAGAGCGTCACTGTGACTTAACTTGTGACCCAGCTGCGGCCACGAACAGCAGCTGGCAACGGGAACGATCCCTGGGGCGCAGCAGGCAGGTCTGCTGCTGCTTGGCCGTTCTGCAGGGGACTGTTGCCATCACAGTGATTTAGGTTCCTGGTGCACCGGCCCCTCAAAGCCAGGCCAGCTTTGATGTTAAATCCGCTTGCCCTGGGCCTGGTGCCATCGTGTTTCACATCTTCCAAGGAGGGAGATTTTCACAACCCTGGTGGATCCCCATTCCAACATTGCCCCTGCACCACGGTGAAGGGGTGGCTGTGCGTGCCCGGGCGGCGCGGGGTGCACGTGCTGGGTGCTCCTCGTGTGTGCCAAGGTGCGTGGGGGCTTCCACAGTGGGATCCCCGGGCGCCCCCACGTCACGGCCGGCACYAGCCCCACGTTAGCGCCTGTGTTTGCAGAGCGTCAGGGCCTCCAAGGCCTCTGCTGTTTGTTTATTCCTTGTAACTGAAGCCATTGCGCATCTGAGCAGCTTCCTGGGGAAAAGTCTCCTTCAGTAAATAAATAATTTCCAGGGTGGGGACTGGGGCCGAGGAGCAGCTGCTGGCTGCGTGTGCGCGGGCCGGGGCGATGCCACCGCGCTGGCCGCGCGCCCTGGGAACGGCTCCGCCAGGCCCAGATGTTTCCCTCCCCGGCGCCCCAGGCGCTGGCCGAGCGCCCAGGGCGGCTGCGGGGGCGGCCGGACCCGCTCCGGGCAGGGGCCCGGGCATGGGAAGAGGCTGGGGGCTGTGCAGG